ATCTAATCTAATCTAATCTAATCTAATCTAATCTAATCTAATCTAATCTAATCTAATCTAATATATTCATTGAATGGAAACCAAACCTGTAAAGTTTCTATTTGTTCATAAAGAATGTTGGATTTCTGTGGTCTACTGGAACTACATTAAAAGAAAAACAGATACCAATCAACTTTTTAGGTTAATAAATTGAATCTAGATAGATTTAATATATAGAAGGTTTAATATCCGACTTACTCTTTTAGACTTGTTCAGGAAAAGGAAAGTTTAACCAGCATAATGCATGATACATATGCATGGCACATTTTCCACTACACAACGCCATTTCAATAATTAATTAAAAATTTGCTCAGTGTCGCAGTGAGTAGCACTGCTGCCTTGCAGCAAGAAGGTTCTGGGTTCGATTACCAGCCTGGGGTCTTTCTGCCTGGAGTTTGCATGTTCTCCCCCCGGAAAATGACTTCCAGGGGAAGAAGCTCTCTAAAAACTATATATTTACTCTTAAATATTGAGTTTTTTGCAATTGCAAAAATAGATTTCGCTCTTAAAGCATTTTTCTTCTAAGTCTTATCTCTTGATTCAGGATTTTTCTCTCGATGTAAATAATGTATCATGGGCCGCTCTGTGTTCCTATTGGCCAGTCTCAGTAGAACTGACAGCTAAGTGGTGATAATAAATCCAGATATCAGCCAAAAACGGAATATCTCAAAATAACAGCCTGCCTCCAAAATCTCTATTAGAAAGCTCATGGAAAACAATAACTGATCAATAATAAACGGTCAGTTGTTTTTATACCTGATGCTTTTAAGTATTGTTTTATTTGAGAAATACCACTCGCTCAAGCCTTTTCAATCATCCTACCCATCAATTAAGTGATAAAAGTCATATGATTAATTCTGATTTCGTATAATGTCAGTACTCAAAGCTGGAATATACGTATAGTATCAGAAATGAAGATGAAATATCGTGAAAATCTAAGTTATAACTTTAAATTGCTTTCTTGCTGGCATTTTTAACCGGGAGCTTGGCTCAAAGCTTTAAGAGTTATCCTGACTGTGATGTTTCTTATCTTTTTTGCCTTATAAAGTGCTTTTTATATAGTGAAATACTGTTTATGTGGGTTTGACTGAACTATTTATAGGGTAGGACTGAGGACCAACACTGTTATTCCTTCCTCACAGTTCTAAGCTGTAGCAGGAAGGATTGATTAAAACGCATTAAATTCAACAAATCAAGCTCTAAAAAGTCAAATGTATTTGATTTAATAGTGGATATTTAATACTGGCTTTAATCAAGAATAAACAGCTAAACACTGATCACTTTTCTACAGAATATATAATGCCTATTTTTTTTTTAATAAGCCTTAAAAGAGAAACAGGAAAACATAGCCTACAGGAGAAACATGGACCGAATTCAAAATAATAAAAAAATATATCAAATATGCACAAACAGAACGTTACCATCAGAACAAATAATTTTCTAACTTAAAGAAAGGTTCTGGTTGCAGCTCAGTCCTCTGAGGTCGAGCAGAACAAGAGAAAGGGATTACTTATCGTATCATTATTCAGATCAGATGAACCTCCGACTGAATGACACTGAGGAATGTCCCATTCAATTTACTATGTGGATGGGAATAAAAATTAAATCATTTTCCTTTTAGGTAACTTTCACATTTAGGTTAACGTTTTAAATAGAGGTGTTTTATAAGCCCTATAATGAGTTGGTTTGGAATAAATTCCCATGAAGGAGTTTTGAACCATTATGTAACCAAAAAAATGAGGATATGAGCTCATTCTTTAAGGACAGACAGGTAATGACCAAGTTCCATTATTACTGAATGGTCATGAAAGAATTGTAATTTAATCTAATTATAAAGGAGAATATTTTCCAATTATGGATTGTATGTCTTTTAGAGTCTTGTCTGGCCTTTGATGTTCCCAGAAAGGAATTGTATGACAAAAATAAGAGGACCAAAAAACAAAAAAGTGTTTTTTTGTGTCTAGTTGAAGTTTTTCTGAATTCAGGACAGCATAAAGTCCTCCCTGCTCAAGAATATGCATTTTATTGCCACGTTTGGTGAGTTTGCTGGTAACTGTAACAGCCCTGATCTCATCTAGTATTGAAGGAGCCCCTTCCTACCTTAGAAGCAACATTTATTCCCAGGGTTGTTAAGTAAACATGGTTTCCCTTTCTCATATTGATCTACAGTCCATTATGGTTTTATATTACATTCTAACTTTGTTGGAAAGGCTTTTCTAATCTAATATTAACCTTTTCTAAACTTTAAACTTTGCTTTAGAGTTCTAGCATGCTACATGAAGGTTTGGCCCTAGCAGCACCTGTGTGTTTACCTGTTTTTGTTTCTCTGAGCTGCCCTGTATTATATGGTTATAATAATGGAATGCTATATTGCAATACAACTTAAGTTAAATGTGGATCATAAGCTGACCACATTTCTGGGTGTTCTACATTCCAATGAAGAAGAAACATAAAGGTTTCAGTCATGAAGCTAACTTTGATTTAAAAAAAACAACTGCGCTAAAAATACCAAACACACACTCACACTGTTCAATTCTTTTGACATGATCCACGGTTAAGTTAGAGCTGAAATTCGGTTTGGTTCAGTCAGGATATAATCATATTAAAATGTAAAAAAGCAGAACAAAAAAAATCACTGATGTAAAAATGAAATGGTCACATTTAACGGGAGCACAAAGACAGTTAACTATATCAACTGATTCTCTGTCAATAAATCAACTCATTTATGTATTTTTATATGACAAACTACGGTAAATGACGAATTTAGCGTCAAGAGAAAGCTGCGTTCCTTCATTTCCAGGGTTGTCTGGGTTTTTTGAGCTCAGGCTGTTTTACCAGGTTCTTCCTCTTTAGGCTTTCCATTTGTGAGATTGCAGAGCTGTATATCGCACCAAGTCTCTCTGTTCCCTTAAAGCTGTTGGATCTTTTTAGGGAAGATAATGAAGGGTAGACAGTTTGTGACTTTGCAACATAGTTAATCACATCAATTCCTTCATAAACTGTACGGCTATTGTTTCGTGTTGCTGCCAGATTCTCCCCGTGATTAAACCGATCTGCAGTAAAGATTCTGGGAGGACTGTGATGATAATGAAGCCCATTTTTTCCAGTCTTTGCTTTATTGTCCTCATTCCCTCCTACACCTTTACTAGGAGGGACAGAGCGTTGGTCAGATGTCCAGGTTGGGTAAATCTCTGTGCTATTATAATAGCATCGCTGCCTTGTGTCCGTGTCTGATGAAAGCCACAAGTCTTGTTGTATTTCCTGTGATGCTATATGGTTTGATTGTTCATTCCCTCCTCTTAAACAGCTTAAATGTGTCTCCTTAACCACCTTGTCTTCAATTGTGGTTTTCAGGAGCTCCTCAGAAATAAGATCCGGTCTGGTTTCTCCCTCATGGAATCCGTTTTCAGTGTCAAGTGAAGGAGCACAATAAGCCTCTGGAGATCTTCCATTATTCTTCATGGCCCGCCCACTCACTTCAAACACAAACAAGCACAAATATTAAAAACACAGAAAGATGCTTTTAATAAGAATTCAAGATATTTTTCTTTCAAAAAGCAGGGTTTTTACAAAACAGTCCTATAATTTAAGGCTGAAACAATTAATTGGATTAATGAATTATTGAAATAAGCGTCAAATAACTTAGCAATGATTAACTGGAGTATAGAGACTCCAAAACAGACATTTAGTAACATACCTTGAGCACCAATTATACCAAAATCGTAAAAACAAATATGTCAACATTTTGCATTTAAGATAAAAATCTTTTTCGTCTGTCAATGTGCTTATCCAGAGTTCCAGAAGTGGAAAACTTTTAGTTTGACCTGGTTATTTTCGCAGAAAGTTTTCTCTAACTAAACTTATGCTATCCGATTATTATTTAATTAATCGAAAAAATTATCGACAGATTAATCGATTTGCAAAATAATCATTAGTTGCAGCCCTACTATAATTAGCTCTCATTCATGAGGAAGAATATAATAGAATAGAAAATCCCTTTATTGTCCCACAATGGGGAAATTCTGGTGTTTACAGCAGCAAAAAGATTAAAGAAAAAAATAGCCACACAAATGTGGACCTTAGAAAAATGAGGCCTAATAATGTGGTAATAAGCTATGAAACAAAGAGGGGGGATATCTTTAATTCTAACATATGGCTATCTGTTTGTTTCTGTGGTAAAACAGGCAGTAGAGGTTTTATCATACAAGCAAGTTCAACAGCAAAGTCTGCATACCTTTGAATGGCCAGTAGAGAGCGACATCTGACTTTAATTACTTGGTTTAGGTGTGTATTTAGAATAGAATAGAATTAATAGAACTTTATTGTTATCATACTGTAATAAGTACAAAGCAAAGAAATGTAGTTTTCATCTATCCAGAGGTGCTATACAGCATATAAGTAATTATTTACATGTTTAGAGAAACTATTTGTATTGACTTTAAATGGTTTATATCTACAAATGGTATATATAAACAGAGAAAAAATGCAAGAGCCTATTAAATAAATTAATATGGAAGCTATATACAGATTATACAGGAAAGGTAGGAGATGGCTTTCTTAATAATTATTTTGGCCTTAAAATGGTTCATTAATGTATTCTTATTTATAATAATGTTGCAATAACCCCTTTTAACCTGTTAAATAAAGTGTATATATAGTTTCAGTCAGTAAACTTTTGGGCTAATCAGGATCCTGGCTACACTCCACCTGGTAGTTTTCTGTTGTTGTTTTTTTTTTTAACAAACTGTGTCTGCAAGGTATGACGGATTTCAATCCATAAAAGCTGCATTATAAACCCAAAAGAAGATTGTCAGCTTAGATAATTTGTTGGGTGCAATTTTACTCAAACAGAGCGCCAACTAATATTAGAATATACTATGGCTGAAAAATACAATATGGCTGACACATTAATCAAAGCTAATCCAACTGACAGATGCCTGAACGGTGGAAATATCTACAGAGCTAACTTATGGCTTTGGTTTAAAACAAACCAATCACATCAATCCTCACATCCTCTGCTTGGTAACATAGTTTTTAGAGTGGACAGAGTTTTGAATCCAGTTTATTTCAAGCTTGCAGTAGTTATTTGGTATTGAGTATTGACCTTGTTAATATAAAACAGTTTGCTAAACTAATGTTTCTTTGAAAGCATTTCCCAATACCAGGTATTTCACAGAAACCCTAGTTAATCCTAATAACATTAAAAATAAAGATATTTGTCATGACTGCCCTTTGAAGTCTAAACACCTCAGATATTTAAGTATACTGAAATGGAAACGAACAACCTTAAACAGGTCTGTGAGGGAAATGCAAAGCCAAACATTTGCAAAAAGCTGGTGAAGATTCTCAGTCATCCATGTCATAGTCATTATTATTTTTTTTATTAAAAAACAAAACCACTGGACTTTGTTTTACAAGTTTGAAGACGTTTTTCTTCCCATCAAGAAAGCTTTCTTAAATCAGAATGTGTAGATTAGCGCTGAGTTCCAGGCTTTATATAGTAGCCCAAAAAAAAGCCTTGTAATGGCTTAGAAAACATGCAAATTAAACCAAAAAAACAGCTCCACCCCTTTGCACCCACAAACTCACCCATTTTGTACATGAGGAGATAAGCTGTTGTCGACCTGTTTTAAAGGAATATAAGAATCAAATCATAAAAAATCCAAAGAAGGGCAGGTTTGCACTGATCATAATAGAAAAAAGTCAGAAAATATTCATCATTGTTGTGTAAAAGTTTGTTTACCTTATAGAATTACTTCCAGATTTGAAATACAGCTTGTTGACCTGAAGGGTTGAGAAGAAGTTATTTAATCAAACTCTACTCTTAATCTTTAACTACACATGAACCAAAAAAAGCCTGTCTTACACATTTAACCGTGTTGTCGTTGAAGCAGTACCAGTACCCAGTTTCAAACGACTTGATGTCTGCGGTGTAATGGCCTCCCATCAGATCGCCGAAGTGATGAACCACAGCGTAGAGGTCGTACCTGCAGCTCTGAAAAGTAAAAAGCTCAATAAAAGAACCTGAAGCTGCTTCCATATGTTCATGCTTCTATATAAATACCTGGATCTCTAAAGTCTGGACCACATCCGCTTTGCACTTTAGCTTGACGTAGCAGTTCTGCTGATAATCGAAGGAGAACCTCTTCAGCAGCAGCGTCAGAACGTCTGGACAACGTATCATCTCGTATTCCTGGGTTGTATGATCAAAACAGCTGCATGTAGACGAGACGGCTGACAATCGCCAAATAGATCAATTAACAAATGTCGACTTACGATGTCAGTGTCTTGCTTTTTATTGCAGATGTTGCAGAACATCTGGTTGTCCTCGCTGACTCTCTGGGCCTTAAAGAAACTATTTAATCCATCTAACTGCAAACAGATCAGACTGGTTAATCCTGCAGCGTTTTTACTTCTGAATATGTGTGAAAAACACAAGCAGTAAAATCTTATCCTGATTAAAGAAAACATAGTACCACGCTGTAGCTTTGAGACCTTGAATCTCCCATTGACAGAGGTAGAACCAAGAAGAGGTTTTTTGAGCTGCTTGTCTTCTTGCAGTTGAGGCATGTGGTTTTATGATTGAGCTCGCCTTTGAATATCTAGACAGAAGAAGAAAGTTACTCTGGTTTCTGTGAGACTTTTGGTAATTAAAAAGGACGTAGTATTTCATGGATTCCACGTCACGTTGACAACCAACAAAGCTTCTGGAAAAATGAGGCAAGTGAACTTTTGGCCAAGAAACATTAGCTCCATGTTCACATCCATTTTCCATCACGCTTTATCCCTGCTGGGATCGCGAGCGGTGCTGGTTCCTATCACCAGCTGTCTTAGTTTCTTTGTAAAAAAAAAGGTGTTTTAGCAACCCGCTGCACAATGTGTTGGCCAGTTCCCCTGTGCATCTATCCTAACCAATAAACATACAGTAAATGTGAACACTGTATTCCTACCTCAGATTAGGGCTGAACGATTTAGCCAAAAATCTAATTTGCGATTACTGCCAACCAATAGTGCGTTTGCTATTTCGATTTTCTTTTGCCGGATTTGGATGTTTTACTCCAGGGTTTCAGGTTTTAATTAGGTTGAAAACCTGCTTGTCTAAAGTCCATCGCTGCAGAAACCTTATTGTAACCTTTGTTTGGAAACTACTCACTAACTTCTACTTGCATGCATAGATCAGAGTGCTAGCTGGAAGTTTTTCTTTCTTTTTTCATGGCAGAAAATCCACTTTAAATGTATAACCGCCACATAAAGTGTTGGAGCAAAAAAAAAAAATGTCTCTTTAGTCTTGTTAAATGTAAAATGACCAAAATTGAGTGTCTCTGTGATTTCAAAATTGCGATTTCTTAAATTGTGATTATATTACAAATGCAATGAATTGCCCAGCCCTACCTTAGAGGCTTCCAGGCTGGTGTGACACAGGATCTTCTCTAAGTATTCAGCAGCATCACGTTGTTCGTAAACTAAAAGCACAAATGAGCGGGGGAAAAAAAAGGTTTATTGTTTCTTATGCTGTTTCGCAATGTGACTGCTTCTGTATGAAGCTTACCATCTTTGATGCCCAGTTCTCTTATTATGTTGTCTGTTCTGGCCATGTTTTGTTCTAAAGTACAGAACAGCTCCCTCAGGTGGTGATTAATACTCGTTTGGTCTTTCCTGCCACTTCTACGCCAAAGTTAGGAGAGAAGCAAAGACAGAATGTTATCACTTAAACTACTTCTATCAACTAATTCAGTCTTTCACTTTGCTGCATTTAATCCTCACTTTTTAGCGATTAATTAGATTAAAGAACCACACCATTTTATTCAAATATGCAATAAATATATAGTGGTTTTTATACAACATCAGTAATAATTAGCTTCTTTTCAGGTAAAAGAGACAATAACTTTGAAGAGCAACTGTTCTTCTATGATCAGATCTTCCTGACTCGAGATCATTTCAAATTCGATAAAAAAAATGACATCCACACCGTTTCACAGCTTCCCGAAAGTCCACAGTCATGAAAAGCACTTGCAGCACACTGTTCAAAAAGCAGGTCAAGCCAGGACTTCTCAGGCCATGGTAATCTAAATTAAAAAAAAGAGAAATAAGACAAAAATCCCTTTTTCACACACAGGCTGGACGGTATTAATTTCTCTACATCACCAACCTGAGATCATCAACTTCTCCAGCTTGTTTACAAGCTTTTTTACAGTGTAGTGAGTCATATTTCGGTATTGCAAATCCAGGTTTCGACATATTTGCATTTGAATTTCTTTTTTTTCATTCATCCTGTGAAGATAAAAATGCAAAACAGATTTTATTTAATAGAAAACCACTTCAATGGTCAATAAAAACAAAATAAAAAAAGAGGTAGCTCCACATTGACTTTGATATCCATATCCTATTCTATTATAAAGCAGAAAATGAAAAAGAAATCAAATTATTCTGACTTTTAGCAAACAGTACAAATGGTGATCCTAACTGATCTAAAACAAGAAAGGTTAATCTCATTATTTGTGACCATCCATTAGGGTCGATTAGCCACTTGTTGCATCCAGTGTAACTATTCACTAGTTAACTACTCTTTGTTTCCCAGTTAATTATTCACTAGCTCCTGATTTTTGGATCTTATTTTCTCTATGGTAACTAGGCATTAGTTCCTGGTTAGTGACTCTTTGTTTCCCAGGTAACTAGGCATTAGTTCCTGATTAGTTACTCTTTGTTTCCAAGGTAACTAGGCATTAGTTCCATAATAAGGTGGGGCTGGGTTTTCCCCAATAACAGCTGGTTAACTACCCATAAGTGCTTTCGTCCTTCTCTAGTAAGTTTGTCTACCCTATTTTAAAGTGGCAGTGGTTATCAATGATTG